GAGGGCTGAGTTTGCCGAAAGCAAAGCGCGGAATACACAGAGAGAAAAACGAGCAGTTGACATGCCTACCTGGAATGTCCGTTATTAAACAGGCCTTCGGCTGAATCACTGGACGGGATCCTGCGTGTGATTGTACAGGGTGGAGAATGAAGCATGAAAGAAGCATAACATTGTAGAGTTTATATAATATTATTATTATGATACAAGTATTCCAAAATCCAGATTTTGCATACAGCTCGTCAGTGGAAAATAATATTGCCAATCACAGTTAAAACATCATCAGCCAATTGCAGCACAGCACACAACAATGGCCTGACCAGCTGGACCAGTACCGCCGGGCCTATGTTTAAAAGTCTCACCTGAACTTCTTCTTGCGTCGTCGTTTGTAGACAACTCGTAGCAGAACGCACAAGCCAAGCAAGCAGACGAAACCCAGAGCAGCGCCTGAACCAATCAAGCAACAAACATGGCCACCAAAACCAGATCATGACTGATGTAATAGTAGCAGCAGTAGTAGGGGATTACTTTAGAATTTTGAGCACAAAGTACTAACTGCTGAGTATATTTTAACTCGGATACTGAGCCAGTAGTAAATGTAAAAAAAGAGAGAAGAAAACACGTGAATTTCTCAGTAGCCTGTCAGTTTTGTTCTGACTCCTTATCATCTTGTTACAGTAGGGATGTCAGCGAACGCACTGCGCATGCATTGCGTCATCGATTTTTTGAACGTGATCGCGGCCGACAGAGAAAACATGGCCGCGATCTGTTTGCACCGCTGGGAGTCGTAAAATTACTGTTCTTCTGTCCCCGCGACCATTCAAATCATACGCGACACTCGAGGACCCACGAACTCACCACGTTCTCCCCGGTCGATTTCTCTGAAAGTTGGCACATCGTGAAACACCAGTATGAGAGGTGTTCAGGCCAATTTTCAAGGAATTTCCCTGGTTGGATCGTTCCAAAATCGGACTTCCATTACTCGCTCGCGGCCATTTCTTGCGCGATGGAAGCGCCCTGCCCTGGTGAGTAACCAGCATCGCGCTTGGTAGAGAGTTGCTGCAATCAGCTCCCTGATGTCTTCGCTGCCATTGTCAGAAGCGATGGACCATGAATTTGTTTGAGAGTCTCTGGATGCTACTATTCCTCAGCCTAGTTTTCAGCCTCTTCTCTTCTTCTTCGCACGATTTATTTTGCAAAAAAATAAAAGTGTTCATGAGTTTTCTTGTCGGCCGCGCGTAGATGGGCCAGGCTGACCTGCGCAAATGGGCTGCGCAGTGCGTTCGCTGATATCCCTAGTTACAGTCGTGGATAGTTGCTGCTTCTCTTTTTTACAGTGCACAATGTATATTCAATATAGAGACGTTGGATACACAACCGTGACTAGAGCATTGACTGCACTACTCTTCACCCCAGGTACAATGTGTGTGTGTGCGTGTGTGCGTGTGTGTGTGTGTGTGTGTGTGTGTGTGTGTGTGTGTGGAATCGAATCGATAGGTTGCGGGTTCGATTCCCTACGATTATGGTCACACACGTCTTTCTTCTCTTTCTCAGACTCCCCTGACTTTTCTTTCATTCTCCTGGGTGGTTACCAACAGCCAGTGCATGCCGGAGTATGTGGTGTGATGTGTGTGCGGGAAAAAAATGGAAAAGACCAAAAAGGAGGGATTCACTGGCCAGAAAAATCCACTTCATAGCTGTGTGGTGTAGACCAGGCTGAATAGTGGTGGTCATTCCTTCAGCCTTGCAAGCTGTTGAATGGTGCAATCCCGGCACAAGTTGCTATGGCTTCTGCTATAGCATCGCTATCATCGCCTCTGGCGATGGGTGTCCAATGGTCCAATGGTGTGTGTGTGTGTGCTTATAAGCGTGATTATTTTGTCTGTATGATGCCCAGGGAATCATGCAACACTAGGCATTCACCACACCCTAGTGATAGCTAACGTACTCAATAGAGCATCCAAGAAGACTCCGAATATATTCCACCTGCAATGGTTGACAATACCGCCCAAATATACCTTCTGATGCCCTTGCTATACAACTGCAGGGTTCTAGCCAAAGGAGGGTAGGATGGCGCAGCCCCACCCCCCCCCCCCCCCCCCCTACTCCCTGGAAGTCCTTGAGTGCCCCCCCTCCTCCTCCCCCCCCCATCCTGTGATATGTGGTGCCCCCCCCCCCACCCATTAAATTTGTCAATCTTTGTTTATTTTCATGTAATTCAAAGAAAATGCAGTCGATAGTCACTAACAAAGGGGTCAAAAAGCACACTTTTCTGTAGTGAAGTCAGGGATTCACTACCATAAGTTGCATGGCAAGACAGTTTTGGAAAATGGAAAAATGGGTTACGGGGTAACTGTTCCCCCTACCCCACCCCTCTCCCCCCTACTATTGTGACCTGGCTAGAACCCCGAAGTGCCAACACCAAACCAGAGACCCCACCATATCATACTTCTTGGCACCTTCATTCGCTTCCTTGTTATCGAGTACCTTTGCTCGTTTGGTA